CCCCCCCCCCCCCCCCCCCTCAACTTCTCCCTCAGCTGCTGACCCAACAAGGTTTGCTCTCCTCAATGTGAGGTCTTTAACAAACAAAACCTTCATCATGAACGACTTTTTCTGCACAAATAATCTGGATTTCATGTTTCTGACAGAGACTTGGCTTCTTCCGGGTGAGTCAAGTGTGTTTTCTGAACTTGTGCCTGCTGATTGTACTTTTCTTAATTGCCCAAGGTCATCTGGAAGAGGTGGAGGAGTGTTGGCTGTTTTTAAGAAAATCTGGAAATGCAGACTGTTACAGACACCATCTTTTCAGACCTTTGAACTGCTGCATTTTGAACTGGGCCGCTCCAACCCCATGTTGATTGCGGTGCTTTATCGACCGCCCAAATCCTCCACAGGCTTCATCAGTGAACTGTCTGTCTTTCTCACTGCGATACTGTTAAAATACGACCGTGTGCTGATTCTAGGGGACTTCAATGTGCACGTCTGTTGCCCTGAAAAGCCTTTGGTTCAGGACTTTTTAGATCTGATCCACTCTTTAAACCTGGTGCAAAATGTTGTCGGCCCCACACACCATCAGGGTCACACTCTTGATATTGTTCTGTCTTGTGGTGTCTCTGTGCTAAATCTGGAAATTGGGGATGCTGTCATGTCTGATCACAAACCAATCTCATTTGTAATACCTCTTGCTCGTGTCTCTAAATCTCCCGCTCCACCCAGGACCTGTCGTATATTTAACCCTTCAACTGCTGCTCGTTTTTCCTCTGCCTTTATTACCACTGCTGCTACAACACCTGAAACCTCTGCCTGTCTTGGTGCTCAGGAGCTGCTTAGTAACCACAATGTGACCTGCACTAAGATCTTGGATCTAGTGGCCCCACTAAAAGTCAGGAAACCAAGGAGAGCCCAGTACCCATGGATGAATGAGACCACCAGGGCAGCGAGACGCCTGTGCAGGAGAGCTGAGCGCAGGTGGAAAAAGGACCATCTCCAGGTTTCCTTCATTTTGCTCAAAACCTGTTAAAAAAATTACCAGAACACTGTCAAATCTGAAAAAAACAAATATTTCTCCCAACTCATCAACTCAAATAGACACAACCCCCGCGCCCTATTCACAACAGTAAATTCCATTCTAAATGTCCCTTAGTATTCATGTATGGAGGCCTCTGTTGACACCTGCAACGACGTCACTAAATTCTTTGTTAACAAAGTGGAGTTGATCAGGGCCTCCATCCCCCGCTCCTTAGTCGACCCATCAGCTTTTGTTTCGTGTTCTGCTACTTTCAGGCAATTCAAACCAATCACACTCTCATTGTTAAACAAAGTTGCTGGTCACATGAAGCCATCAGGATCACCATTGGACCCCATCCCAGCAGCATTGTTCAAACAGGTTCTACCAACGATTGGGCCTGCTGTTCTAACAATACTAAACAGTAGTATTGCTACAAGCGTGGTCCTAGAGGCGTTCAAACATGCAGTAGTCACACCGTTAATTAAGAAACCTGGTCTTGACCCTTCAGCCTGCTCAAATTACAGGCCAATCTCAAAACTCCCCTTTCTGTCCAAAATCCTGGAAAAAGTAGTTTTTACTCAGTTAAATCAGTTTTTAACTGAGAACAAAATCTTTGAGGTCTTTCAGTCTGGCTTCAAGCAGCTCCACAGCACCGAAACAGCTTTGGTTAGGGTTTGTAATGACATTTTAACAGCAAATGATTCTGGCCATTTTGTGGCTCTTGTACTCCTCGATCTTACTGCCGCTTTCGATACTGTTGACCACAGTATCCTCATCTTTCGGCTTAAACACTGGGTTGGGATTACAGGTGCTGCATTAGACTGGTTCCGCTCATACCTCTCTGACAGGAGTTTTTGTGTGAAGGTGGGTAAAAATCTATCCACTTCAATGCCTCTTTCCTGCGGTGTCCCGCAGGGCTCGATTCTCGGACCCCTTCTATTTTCACTCTATCTGCTTCCGCTGGGGTCGATCCTAAGAAAACATGGTATTCCATTCCATTGCTACGCCGATGACTGTCAGATCTACCTGCCACTGAAACCAGCCAGTGCTTGTTCCGTCCACCCTCTCCTCAAATGTCTGGACGACATTAAGACATGGATGGCTTCAAATTTTCTAAGTTTTAACGACCAGAAGACTGAAGTCATTGTCTTTAGCCCTAGCTCAGCTGCCGCCTCTTATCCTGTGAACCTGGACTCCCTTCAGCCTTATCTGAAGCACTCTGTTAAAAACCTTGGAGTGGTTTTTGACTCAGATTTTAAGTTCGACAAACAGATCAGTTCAGTTCTGCAGAGAAGCTTCTTCCAACTGCGGCAGGTAGCTAAGCTCAAGCCAGTGCTGTCTAGACCCGACCTTGAGACACTAGTCCATGCATTCATCACAACCCGCCTGGACTATTGTAATTCACTGTATGCTGGGGTCAGCCAGGCCTCTATCTCACGGCTACAGCTCGTCCAGAATGCTGCAGCTCGGCTCTTAACCGGTACACCGAGGTATGAGCACATCACACCAGTTCTGTCCTCCCTACACTGGCTTCCTGTGAGAACTAGGATTGATTTCAAAATTCTCCTCCTGACCTATAAGTGCCTAAATGGCCTTGCACCCATCTGCCTCTCTGAGCTACTGGAACCATATGTTCCCTCTCGGGCTCTGAGATCATCCGATCAGCTGCTTTTGGTTGTTCCAAAAACACGACTGAAGCTCCGAGGAGATCGGGCGTTTTCAGTCATGGGTCCCAAACTGTGGAACAACCTACCCCCCAACATTAGGCATGCCACCTCCCTTCCTGTGTTCAAATCCCTGCTAAAAACATATCTGTTCTCTCTGGCATTTCATACTGTGTGAGTTGATGTAGTATATCTTGTTCCATGTCTTCATTTTAATGCTGTTGTTTTAATTTTTTAAGGTATATTCTTACTGCTTTTTATTTCTCAGTGTTACCCTTAGTGTTAAGCACTTTGATAACAGTCTATCTGTTTTAAATTGTGCTCTATAAATAAATATGACTTGACTTGACTCTCTATCTTCTTGGGCAGCAGAACCACCTGAATGTTGAGCAGAACTCCTCCCTGAGTGATGATCCCTCCTCCCAGCATCTTGTTGAGCTTCTTGTCATTATGGACAGCCAGCTGCAGGCATCGGGGATGATCCCGGTCCTCCTGCTGTCTCGAATCACATTTCCCATCAACTCCAGGATCTTGGTGGTCAGGCACTCAAGCACCGCAGCCAGGTAGATGGGAATGCATCCACAGCACCTCTTTTTCAACTCATTTTGGATTTGGGGCTGTAGTTGAGGTATTTGAGCTTTAAGATTTTAATCAGCTGCTCCCAGTTGTTAAAAAAAACAACCTTGTTGTCATGGTTACACATTATAACAAATGTCCAAAAGTATAAAAGTTTTGGTAAAAAAAAATCCTTCCAGCTGCACAGCATCTGACACCAGAGGAAACAGTCATCCAAAAAAACATGATTTACATCCAGAAAAAGAGGAATTAAAGTTTCCAAAAGCAAGATCGCAGAATGAAAGTAACAGAGCTGCTCCAACAAGCAGCCATCTTGAGCAGCACAATTCTAGAACATGAGATCAGACTTACATATTGATGGGTCTGGACTGTGGTGTCCAAGTCTGGACATGCCTGCTGTACCTACTGTGACTTGGCGCTATATAAATAAACTGAACTGAATTGTGAATTAAGGTGACCAGTGTGTTCACAAACACCTCCTGAGTCTTTGACTCCAACATTTCAGGTTTAATTTTAATGAAGTTGTTTACATTCAGGTCTGACTGGGCCTTTAGAAGAAATATTTGACTAACAGCCACAATAAACAGACTCTCTGAACTTTAATCAAAGTCTCCTTTCCATAAAAATAAAACACTCTGACAGTGCTGAACTGCATCTATAATCAGGATTCAAACATTCAGCTTCAGGACTTTCATTTATAAAATCTGAAAACTTTTCACCTAGTTTAAAAAACAAAACGTAATTTAACTGTTCTCTTCCTCCACGTTTTTCTTGTGACAAGTCGGGGGATAAAGTGCTTCTTTGTGCCAACCCGGTCCTGTGGTTCAGTTCTTCCAGTTCCAAGGAACGCACAGGTCCCCATCCTGCAGGACTGAGTAAAAGTGAGAAACACAGATGTGGAGGCCCTGCAGGAGGGGGGGGTGCTGCGCCAGCAGCCTCTGACAGCACTGGATCATCTGACTGGAGCTGATACTGGGTTCTTTGGACAAGCTCCTTGGAGACAGGGTCTGGAGACAAGACTGGACTACAGCGTCCTCCTCCACCTGCAGCCTGAACACAAGAAATAATCAGTAAGCAGAACCAGACAGAGTTCTGGTCTAAGGAGCATCCAGAACCAAACTGTTTGACTTGAACTTATTACTAGAGCATTTCTGTAAAACAGTCCATGAACAAAAAAACAGTAAGTCATAAAAATCCACCCTTCCTGGAAGATAATATGGACCCAGGGCCTTCAAAGACTGGGGTTTCTATTGAAACATGGCGTACATCCCAAAAAAAAGTTTTTGCGGGTGCTCGCGAGGCCCCAGGTCCAGAACCAGGACCAGCTGCAGGACATTACTCAGGAAGTGTTTCTGTGGTGACTTATTGCTGAATTTACTCACTGATTCCTTCGCTGGATCCGCTGCCTGGCCTCAGAGGCGTGAGTCTGGAGGAACACCTGAAGCTTGGAGGGGTCACAGCTGGTGGGGATAATGAAGTGTCCCGTTTCATGAAGAATGGGTGTAGAGCAGTCCCTGTGGTGGACAGGACCAACAGAAACACCAGAGATTCTCAAGAAGCTCCGTACTCAAACTGAATTTTGAACAGGAACAAGATAAAGTTTTTCTCCTCAATGTTCATTCAAATTAGAACTGCAGGGGAGGGTCGGTCCAGAGCCCCCATTCTTGCTCTTGTTATATAGAAGTGGACAATTTTGTAAATCTCCATTTTGGAAAAACTCACAAAGACCACAGAAGTAACTTGAATCTGACAAAAGTACTAAAAATAACGTTTATCAAAAATGAACTCACAAAAATCAGTCATTGCTTTAGAATTTTTGGTTGAACTGAATTATATATATATATATATATATATATATATATATATATATATATATATATATATATATATATATATATATATATATAT